TTCTTGTTAGTGGATTTACTAATATGTAAAAATAAAAAAATAAATCATTATTCCTGACAATGTAAGCTTCCAAATTGTCTGTCACCCTGGTTGACCTGGTAGCTAAGAAGGTCATCATCCTTTGGTCTTCAGAGGGAAGAGAAAGGCTTCTTCCTTCCTGACACTAATAAAGCTGTGTGTTTATATGATACATGTCTATAATACTAGCTTCATCAAGAAATACAAAACTAATGTAACAAGCCCTGTGCTCCAATGCCTGTGGCTCATGAGCCATGGAAAACAAACAGGATGACATTACATTCCCACCCTTGAACACTATGCTATAACTCTTCTTTAATCCAGAGTTATAAATAAAGTCGTCACGAAAGACTAGTTTTTAAAATCTGTGAAAAGTATTTTAAAACCATGGCTCATTCTGAAATCAACTGGGTTTGGCAAACATCTCACTAATTACAAACCTATTTTGTAATTTGGAATTAAGCCAGGCCGTTAAGATCGTCTACACAAAACAGTCCAGGCTAATAAAGAAGAAACCCAAAAAAAATTAGGATGAACCCAAGATGAGGAGACCAGATGCCTAACACCTGGTAGTTAATGAAGATCAAATTGAATGGTAAAAATAGCTAGAGGAATGGTTGGGGCACATAGTAATAAACTCCATGAAGATTATTTACAGAAAAAGAAAGAACCCTGCAAGAAGAAAAGAACCCAAACTTCCCAAATAATCAATTCCAAGTCAGACAACTCAAAACTAAGTCACAAAGGACCTCAGCTGAAACACTGAATTGGAATTAGATGGGAATGGAAGAAAAAGCAGAAAATTCACTTCCTGTACGTATGCAAAGAGAAACTGGCAATTACAAAGTTCAGTTGTCTTCTTGCTACTTCTTAACAACTGCCCAAGGAAAGACAGTAGGACCAGAAGAAGTAGACCTGTCCTGAACGATGATGCTGTGACCTTGAGGCAGTCAGTTCATCTTAGTGTGCTGTCAATTTTCCCTGAGAGACTTGGACAAGGTCAGGTCTAAGATCTGCTCAAGCTCCACACGGTAGTTCAAAGAAACATGTTTGAAGTCTCAGTGTAAGTTGTAGCAAAAAAACAAAAACAAAAACAAAAACAAAAAACAACAACAAAAAAAAAAAAAAAAAAAAAACGAGAGGATTTGTTTCTGGTCGTTGGATTAGCCTGTGGTACCCAAATACAAACTTCTCATTTCCTCATTAGGACATTATTCCTTGGACCTAGAGGAGGACAATGTGACTGCCCACATGACAGTGTGAAAAATTGCTTGTAGTTTTTCACTGTCCTTTGTTTTGAGATAGATTCTTATTAGTACAGGTGTAACAAAAAACATCCCTACTTTATTGATAATGGTCACTGGTTCACTTTTCTCTCCATCATGACCAGTCCCACGGTAGCTGAAGTCAGTCCTTGGAGCCTGATACTCTACATCCATGGCATGTTAAACATTCTTTCCTCAGTGTTTTGTTCCAGCTTTACCCCCACGCATATACCAGGAGTGTCCATGAGAGATGTTTTTTGTGTACACAGTAGAGGATTCCCTAGGAGGAAGAGGCAAGCTTTTCAAGAGCAGGTACCTTTCTCTGCTCACACACAGAATAAGAGTTTAAAATACACTAAGTAAGTGACATAAAACAAAGACCTAACAAAACTTGCCATGTCACATGCCTGTGGGACCCCGCTGAGTCCTCCAATAAATAGTCCTACCCCCCAAGAGTCATTGGATGTTCAAGTGACAATCTTCCAGATCAAAGCAAAACATTAACTAAGACCAAATGCTTTAAGTCTAAATTCTAGGACCCAGAAAGGAAGACTGAGAGTAGCGCAGAGTTCTCCCATTTGCACAGTGCACAGGTAGCCAGCCCTATTCTGCATCCCTTCAAGCCCTTATCCTCAACTGCTGTAATACGACACTACATAATTTTCATTTGTTTTTGGTCACTAGTGTGGGCAATTTTAAAGCCGAAGGGATAAAAGAAAAGGAACAGGAGGGAAGGGCATTTCTATTTTTAAGTGTTGCTAACTTACAGGTGCAGGTCTGGGAACGTTGAGTAGCGTGTCTCATTGGAGCTACAAGCTGTCAGATCTCCATTTACAGACATGGAAAACAAGCCTTGCAGATGTCGGATTGCTCAAACATAGTTACTCAGCTGGAAAAATAGCAGGCCCAGGATTTAAATCCAGTTTCTATTTATCTCTTTTCAAAAACTGTTCATGGGGTTGGAGAGATGGGTCAGTGGTAAGCGGGTAAGCTGCACAAACATCAGGACCTTGGTTCAAGTCCCCACAACACATGTAAAAGCTAGCTGTGCCTATAACCCCAGCATTAGATACAGACAGATACTGAGTGCTCACTGGCCAGTTAGCCCAGTCCAAAAGACAGACTTCAGGTTCAGGAAGAGACCCCCGTCTCAAAGGAATAAGGGAGAGAATGAGAGAACAGGAAATTTGACATGGTTCTCTGACTTTCATTACCTGCACACATGTGCTTTCACTACACACACACACACACACACACACACACACACACACACACACACACACCTTTTAGAAGCACATTTGTAGTTGGGTGAAATATTACATATATTCAAAAAATTCCACTCTTATTTCCATACCTGGTAAATTGTTCAGTTTCTTCCACTAGACCCTGCACCCTGCCCCTTCAGGGTCCAGCTCAAAACTCCCAAGACTATCATCCCACACCCTATCATTCCTTCACAATGGTATGATGCTATTATCATTGCATTATGTCTCCCACAAAAGCGGCTGAAGTCCTAACCCTCAGCACCTGCAAATGTAATCTTACTTGAAAATAAAGGCTTTACATACACTCAAGTTAAGATGAGGTCACTAGAGTGCCCCTTAATTTTATACTGTTGGCGTCCTTGTAAGAGGGACACAGAAACACATGTGTACACAAATGTGTCTGGTGTAGCTCAGCCCAGCCTGAACCTCCTGATCTTCTTGCACCCACCTTCTGAGTGCTGGGATTAGCTAGCACATCAGCATCTTCAATGCTGCTGCTGCTGCTGCTGCTGATGATGATGATGATGAAGATGAAGATGAAGATGAAGATATTGTTCTTTCAAAACTAGAGCCCTATGTCCCAGATTGACGTCAAACTCATGTAACAAAGCTGGCACTGCACTCCTGACACTCTGGCCTATATTCCAAATGCTGAGATTAAAGGTGTACGGCATCTTCCTTGGCAACTTTCACTTTTTAGTAGACTTTATGTTTCATTGATACCACAAGAAGATGAAGGCAGAGAGAGCACGATGTGTCTATAAGCAGAGGGTTGCCAGATTGTGAGCAAGCCACTGAAGCAGGGAGGTGAGAGGCTTGAAGAATATGTTACCTCACAGCCCACGGAGCATGCTGACCTTTATCTCGGACATCCAGGTTCCAGCACTGTGAGCCAATACTTTCCTGTTGTTCAGCTACTACATCTGTGATGCCTTATTTCAGCAGCCCTGGGAAACCATAAGAGCTGTTACTCATTTAACCCTTATAACACACAGGCAATGAAAGAAACCATACAGCACAAAAGTCCTTAGAAAAATCAAAGACTCAAAGGGGAAAAGTAATCCAATATTTGATCAATATGCATTTATTCTACCGTATTCAAAACATGAAAGCCACCAGAAACAACCAACTGTTTTAATTATATTAACTGCTCATAATATAAAAGGTTTTGGTATGAGAAGTTATTTTAATGACATCTCCGCATTTATTCTCCAAGATCCATGCGTGGGATATTGAAAATTATATTTTCAATTCACACAGGAAACTGCTATTACTCAGAAATGGAAAGATCCTTAGCTAATGAAACTCGGCCATAAATCAGCTCAGTGCAGACAGGTTGTGATAGTAACGATGCAGGCAACGGGCAGGGACATGCAAGGGCAAGTAATAGATAATATTACACTGTAGGAGCAGCTTCCAGTGAGCCCAGCCAGGCCATGCGTTCACATGCATAGCCAGATTGCTTAAATGTGCAACAGGAACAGAATTTAAATAGCATTTTAAAATATTACATTTTAGGGACTGGAGCTAGGGCTTAATGGGTAAGAGAGATTGCTGTGGGAGCGAGAAAATCTGAGAACAAATCCCTAACATCCACGTAAAAGCCAAGCATGGCTGTGCAGGCCTGTAACCGCAGCACTGGGAGACAGACCAGAGGGTCCCAGGAACTCCCTAGCTGGACAGCCTCATAGAAAGAGAACGCAAGTTAAATGAGAGATGCTGTCACACAAAGACTAGGTGGCAAGTACCAGAGGAAGACACCTATGTACTCCTCCGGCCTCCACAAGGACATGCACTATACATGAACCCAAATACACATGCACATGTAAGCTACGAACACATACAAACAGCCATACACACACTTTATAAAATCCAGAAAAGATTGCACTGTAGTCAGCCTAATTTAGTTTCCTGATAAGCACTGAAATTCATTGGCAAATTAGTTAAAATCTGCTAGAACTGAAAGAGCCTCACTGTCTACTCCAAGAAAAGAAAAGAAACCATGATAATGGGCTACAAATTTAAGTGAACTGCCCTAGTCTGTATTTTTCTGTGTCTGTCTCTCATTAGCTACCAACCAAAACATTTCTCCTAGCCCCAGCTCATTGGAATGTATTATTCAAGAAACTATTTAAAAATTTACTAAGCAGTTATTAATTTTTTATTTGTTCAACAAATGTTACCTTGCTTCCAGTGTGGACCAGACACTGTCCCAGTGCAGGGTAGTAAACAGAACAGGTGCAATTTCTGTCCTCATAAAAATAACCTCGAGATCACACGCACACTTTCTTTGTTGCAAAGGAACCACTGAGAAGTAAACTGTTCCCATATGTTGTTTATGGCTGTGGCAATGGCCACACCCACACAAGAGCTCTTGAGTCACAATGCAAGGTTCAACACAGCCTTCAAAGTCAACTGTGACCTGACAGTTAGATCTGAGTGAAGTAAGGAAAGCTGTTGTCTGTCACTGATACCCACTGTCTTCTTGCCCAGAACCCCTTCTTCTGAGGATTTTCCCAGTCTCCATGTGGGAGACAACTATGGCCTAGACAGCTGTGCTTCACAGGGAACCTGTGCCCGAACATTCACATTGTGAGTAATATTTAAAATCTAGCCTGGGTTATCACCACTATAATTGCAGTAAAAGCCAGGTAGCAACTAAGTTTATTGTCCATTAAACTCTAAACTCTAGAAAACATTGATTTTCATCCCCATTTTTTTTTTCTGTAACTTAAGTCTATTTTCAACTTCAACTTACTAGTCTGTGATCTTAGTTGTCCTTCTGTGCCTGTTTTAATTTAGGCTGGGGAGGGTGACGAGAGAATGTGGGTGCATATGTGTGTATCAGTATATGTGTGTATGCTGGTGTACATATATGTAGAAGTATGGGTGTGCATATGTATGCTGGGTCATATACATGTGGAGGGATCAGTATATACATGTGTATCAATACATGAATATGTATTGATGTACTTATATGGAGGTGTAGGTAAAGGTCAGAGGTCAACTTCAGGTATTCATTTTCAGGTGGCATTGGCCTTTTGTTTTTGAGACAGTGCTTGTCACTAGAATCTGGGGTTCACCAACCAAGCTGCACTTGCTGTGTTAAAAGCCCCAAGAATCTCCCTGTCCCCTCCTTCCCAGCCCTGGGATTGCAAATACCCACCACCATGCTTGCCATGGATTCTGGAGAGCACTTTACTGGTGAACTCTCTCCCCAGGTCGCCTCTGTCGTGTAGTGCTCCACTTCCCCTCCATCATGTTCAAAACAAACATGCACCTCAAAAATAAATAAAACAACACCTTCTTGAATCTCTTACATATGAGACATGCTTCACTGAAAGCTTCAGCAATAGGTACTGATGTCTATCACGATGACACAAACACCTGAAATTATCAGCACACCTATTCTGTCTTTGCTTTGCTCTGCCCTTTTACTCAACTCCCTCCCCAAGCCTCTCTCTCTACTAGTGAACTCCCTTCTGTTCATTTTTCACGCAAAGAAACTGACCCATTTTTGTTATTTCCAGAACTTTTGCCAACCTATTTCCTGTTCAGGAAACTATCAAGACCTTTTCCTAAATAAAAGCAAAGAAGATTTTGGATACTCATTGATGAGTTTTTTTTCTCCCCATCCACAAGACTATTAGTCAAGTTTCCTGGAAAAACACAGAAAGGATATAATCATGTTGAGAAGACTTAAGTGAGCAGGCAACATTTGGCAGGATTTTAAAAGATTAGTAAGTGTCCTCAGGCTCATTGCAATGATAGCGTGAGTGTATCATGAGCAGAGGAGATGACATAAGAAAGAACAGAGTAATGTAAGACAGAACACGATAGTCCAGGGATGCCCTGTGTAGAGTCCCAGGTCAAGTTAACAAAGAATCAGGTTGTAAGAGAAAGGAGTAAGGCTTTGAGATGAATACCCCAAATGCTTGGCCTTTATCATATAAACAGTCTGTGTTTTCAAGTGTTAGTTCTAAACCCAGCATTATGGCACATGCCTACAATCCCAGCAGTCAGGGGTAATAATGAATTTTAGGGCAGCCTGGGATATATAACAAAGTCTTGTGGAAAAAATCAACTCTAGAAATTTGAACTGACTCAACATACAATAATAGGAGCTTAGTATGACAGGCACAGTGGTAAGAATTAAATGTTCAGAACAGTAATATACTGGAAGAATCTAGAGCAGAGCTTCCTACTGAGAATATGGAGGGAAATACACCATGTTCAGCTGAGTGTGCATGACAACATGGTCCCTTCAGTCTTTGTGGGAATGAAGAAAGGCTGGGTTAGTTGTTTGTCTCTATCAACAGCAGACTTTGTCATTGACATCAGTGTGCAATAACAAATATTATATGCCATGGACACTATGCTGGGAAGCTCTCTCAGAGGAGAATGACATTGCACAAGTCCAGATGAGCCGTGTGAACACAGCTGTGGCAATGGCAAGAAGCACATGAACTTGGGAGCTATTTATGAGAGAGAATGAACAGATGTTAGTAATTGAGTTCTTCAGAGAAGTGAGGATGAAAACGAGAAAAATGGATTCAACACAAGAGGAGGATAGAGAGGGAAAACATGTGCCATGAACTTATATCACGGAGGACTAGAGCCACGGTGGAAAACTGAAAATGACTGAACCTGGTCCTCAGAGTGAGATTTTATAGGCAATGCCAAGTTCCAATTTGTAATTTATTTTCTGCTCTGTCTCTATCGCATAGAACTTCCCCTTGTTGTTCGCCCTCCAAACATGAACTCAGCAGTCTCGGCACTCTCAAAAGGAAAGACAGCAAGATAACACGGGCTTGCAATTCTGCTGTCACGTAGCCTGAAGATGTCTCTCATGGTGGAGGACTGGAATTCAGCAGTTAATGACATCGTAGCTAAGGATCGATGGACTCAACAAAGCAAGAGTCTTCAAACAAGTCCTGCTACTCAAACTATTTAAGAAGCAAGCATTTTCCCAGGAGAGCAATCTCTGTCTCCAATTAATTGATGAATAGGAATTCCCTGGCACAAAGGGCAAAATTACTGCTCGTTTTCAATACTTCTCCTCAAAACAAAGTTTTTCTGGAGTGAACAAAAAATGTCAACTTGGCTTGTCCATATTCCTGTTGTCATAGGTGTTCTCAACTGTCACTCTCTACTAGAAAGTTATATATTTGTATACACATGTATATATTTTATATATAGAGAGAATTCTCACATCTGTGGTTAATTTGAATGAGAATGGCACGTATCAGCCCATATATTTGAGTACTTAGTCAATAGGGAGTGAAATTTTTAGGAAAGACTAGAAGCTGTGGCCTTGATGAAGGAAGTGTGTCACTGAGGATGGGCTTTGAGGTTTAAAAAACACCTGACGAACCCAGAGCTGATATCTGTCTGTCTGTCTGTCTGTCTGTCCATCCGTCTATCTGTCCATCTATCTGTGTGTGTGTGTGTGTGTGTGTGTCTGCCTTTTGCCTGTAGATCAGGATGTAGAGCTCTCAGCCACTGCTCCAGTGCCATGCCTGTCTGCTTCCTGCCATGATGATAATGAATTAACCTTCTAAAACGGTAAGCAAGCCCCCATCAAATGCCTTTCTTTTTAATATGAGAGTTATGGTGTCAGCTAAAAGACAGTAAAGCAATGCTTTTTAGTTCACAGCAATAGAACAGTAAATAAGACACAATCTATAAAATAAAAGGGAAAGAATGCATATTAATGAGATTAATGTACTTATTTATTAATACATAAAGAACAGAGTATTAGCTTAATATTAGTTCTAGGATATTAAGCATCATCACTTTCCAAAATTATCAGTATTTTGATTTTATAGTCATCAATTCTGAGAATTCTGCTTTGCATAAGCACAAAATTGCAGAAGCGTGTTTAGAGTCATTAAAAAATATATTGGGAATTCTGACCTAATCCCAAGTCAAAATTCATTTAACAATATTTTATGAAACTCAAGCTAGCAACTGAAACAGCAATTTAAAAAAGAAAAACAATTATAACAATACAATCTCAAGATACAATAATTTGACACTTACATGCTCAGGAATGGTAGTATGAAAATATGAAACCATTGTTTCCATAATAAAGACATTATGTTTCCCTAAGAACAGAAAACTTGGCCTATACAACAAAGTAAAACACTGCAGTTCATAACATACAATTGTCTTGAATTTGCTATTGTTTCATGGCATGGTGTGATGGTATGCACAATTAAAAGTGGGAAGGCTGTGTTTCGCCCCAAGCTTGTAGGGAAGTCACGTGTAACAAGGGTGTGCACTGCCCAAATACCCTGATTCATTGTGCATTTGATTTTGAAATAATTTTTGGTCATTGTGTATTCCAAAACCTTTACTGATGCTAAAATTTTCACAACCCCCACATTCATTCTATGACCCCATGTAGGCTCTGACCCACACTTGTAAGAAAACCTAGTAGTCTAAAGCCCCACTCTGGTCTTACAGTAGCTGTTATATCTCTTTTACTAATTCAAAACAAATTCTTGTAAGCCCATTCTCAGTGTAGAACACTTTACCAAAGTCTCTTCCACCATGGAGACTCCCTTTTTATCGCCCCATTATTTACCCTGAGTATATCTAAAAATCACCTGAGATCATCAAAAACTCCTGAGGGCCCCGCATCATCCCACACCATTTAACTCAGAAATCTCGAGTGCTCCTGTATTGAAGGGCAGCTGAGGGTGAGAACCACGGCCTGCTCATGCTCCTGTGGTTTGCTTCAGGCTTGATGACTCCAGAAGCCTCAAGAACACAAGCAAAAAGAAGGGGAGTTTAGGTCTTTGCAACTCTAAGCGCAGCCCTGTGCTTTCTGTTTGTCTTAAAACATTCCAAGCACAGAATTCAAACTGAGAAATCCTTTTTCTCCAAAGTTTTGAAAGTATCGCTCCACTGTCTTTTAGTTGAATGTTACCTGATTCGTGATTTTTGCTATGAACTGTTTTCCACAAAAGAATCTTCCAGTTGCTTCTCTATTCTGAAACTTTTTAATGGTTTCCTTGGCCTGGAACTATCCTCATCCATCTTCTAATCTTATAAACTTAAAAACTTAAGTCTTTTATTTCAGAGAAACTTTCTTAAATGCCCTCACTAATGGCTTCCTTCATTTGGGTATTTTTTATTATTATTATTATTCTAAAACTCATACATTTTAAGTAGCAGGTGCTCTTTACCAAACTTGGGACTCTTTTTCTAGTCTACATTCATTTTTTTTTGTTTGTTTTGGTTCTTATGCTGAATACCTCCCCCACCCCATTTACAGGTAGCAATGCCATCCTAATCCTGGCTGCCCCAGCATGGGATGATTTTTGAAGACAGGGTCTTTCCAAAGGTGACCAATAAAATAGGGTCATTAAGGATACACACTGGTTCAATAGGTCTAGCGTTCTGATAAAAATAATTGATTTGGGAACAGAGACGCATAGAGGAGGACAGCATATGACCAGGAAGATGGCCACCCACAGGCTTCAGAAGATGCCAGTCTGCACTGAGGCCTGAAGTGCAGACTTCCAGGCTCCAGGCTTGTGAAAAATTTGTGTTTCTTGGGCCACCCAGACTGTGATATTTGATTCTGGCTCCCTGGTGAAAGAACACAGTCTGCTTTACAGGAGATTTTCTCAACTTTATTTTCCAACAAGTATCTTAGATTTTTTTAAAAAATATATTTGCTATCGCATTTTATATTTTTAAGACTCCTCTTTTGTTCCCTGAATACTCCCTCTATAATAACATCTTGCACATGCTTCAAGGACACAGTATCTTCTCTCCCCCTGAGGACAGTGAATGGTAGTTTTCATCTCCATGTTTTCTTGTTTGTGTAGTTTCTCTGTTTACGAGCGGCTTTAGCTTTCAGACTGGAGATTTTCTTCGGGGTCTGTTTGCTCCTATTTAGGAATAAGGCAAGAAAAGGGGAGATTTGAAGCCAAGTGAGTGCTCAATGGGTTTGTTGACTAATCTCATGCCCTTTGATCCTTAACTGGAGGGTTCAAAACTGCCAGCTTGCAGGCAGAGTTTGCAATGAATGTGTCTGCGTTTTGTTTTGTTTCTCCTTTGGATCTGTGATGCTTTGAAATTGGTATGTTGTTTTTAATTACTTGCAAACCCCACTGCTCCTTTTTGATTTGAAGGAGACTTTTAAGTCTGAAATCCCTACCTGCCTCTTTGTTTAAACCAGTGAAACCTTTTTTGCTTGACCACAAGTTTGAAGTCACTGCCCCTGGGATGTGGTCTGTGACGCTCACAGCTGGATCCCAAGTCTGTCTCCTTGGATATTAAGTTTCACAATCCCTTCAGGGCCTCTGCCCATCTTCCTAGGGTAGCAAACTTTTGGTGGGTAGGTGAAATCCCCCATGAAGATGCACACCCCTGAGGGGGCAAGAACTGAGGCAGATTGTTATCTCATGTGGTAGCCTTGGTAAAAGCTCAAAAAAATTGTATATTGAAACCTCAACATTTAAAGGGACAGGAGTTCAAACAAGAAGGAAGGACATAATTTGATCTTCTTCAGAGATCTAAAATTTTGAGTATCTGATTGCTAAAAATCATCAACTATAGCTCTTCTGCTCCAGGAAAGCACCATGTCCTACAATGTGGCTTTAATAGACTTTCAGATGATTACAGAGACTGCCGTCTGTTTCTCATGATGGAACGTTTCTCAAGCAGAGACAAAAATAAAAGGGAAAATAGAAACCATGATACAGCCAAGTGAAAGAGGAAGTATTTGTGCATTTACATTCGCTTGGATTACATGCTCTTTTGGAACTCAAACCTGATAAAACATTCACCTTGGCATTTCTGCTAAGGTGTCCACAAACAATAAATCATTTATGGCAAAAATTGTCAGAGCAGTTTTCAAAAGTCTGAGTCGTGCTTAGTTCACTATGGCTCCTGTTGCAGAGTACCCCTCATGTTCCAGGGCACCCAGATTCCTGTCCAGGAACACAATCCAAGGCGCTACCTCTGTAGTACCCCATCCATGAGGGAACTGTTTTCTTTCTCCCTATTCAGCTACCCATGCTGGCCCAATTAAACATGATTAGCTAACTCTTTGTTCCTATTAATCTTTCCCTCCCAGGATGATTTGAGCATTGTGGGTTTTTTAATTATTAAGAGAGCCCTGGGAGTTGCCAAATATAGACTCATTCATATGAACAGTAAACAAACTATGTTTGGATTCTCACAAATTTACGAGGCTGGAAAGACCTTGGAAAACCAGATAGGTTTTATGAGCTCTGTCTCCAACTTCTCCAAACTGATATGAAAGTTGAGGGGCAGACAGTGGTATAGACAGCCATCTAGCCTCTGTTCCATACAAACTGGGGCCCTCGAGGATATTTAGTTTTGCTATAAAAAGCCCCATCTGTGAAATGGGCAAAATAATTGCATCTATTCCAGAAGGTTTTTGCAAAGGTCAATTGAAATAATCCATTTGGCACACCTTAACAAGAGCATCACAGTTAAAAGCCTGGTATCATATGAACTCACAAAGGAACAATTGCTCATTATTTAAGAAACTAGTTAGACCTTCACAACTGCCAAGTATGCTGCTGAAATAAACCGATCGAATTAAGCTAGAAGTACTCGAAATTTGTATCTGAACAAATGATTTTAATAGACACTGGGAAACAAGAATTATAATGGAATTTGAAGCTTGTAGATTCTGATATATTATTGTAGAGACAACTTTAAGAGGAAAGTCAGGAAATCTTGAGTTCAAACCAGTTTTTCAAGTCTTTAGGGTCTGGAAAGTTGGCCCAGTGGGCAGAGGCTCTTGCTGCCACTCCTAACAAGCCGGGTTTGATCTTTGGGACCCACATAGTTGGAAGGAGAGGATCATCTGACCTCCACATGCCTATTGTGGCACATGTGGACCCACCCACATACATACATTTACAATATAATTACATAAAATGTAATTTTTACAAAGGAACCTTTGGGTTGAAAACAAAACCTTTC